AGATAATGTAAAGGGAATTTGCTGAAAATTTCAGTCAAATTGATCCACTCTGAACTGAGATTTTAGCGATTGAAATTTCATCCTAGCCTATGATAAAAGACATAGTCTCGATTATCCATTTCATGATTAAATCATGAATGGAAGTCGAACAGCAAATCGGAACCTAATCTAATAAATACTGCAGGCTAGCCATGCTATCGAGAGTTGATTATGGTTTGGATAAGTTAATTAATGTTTAATTAATAATTTAGATCACATTTCAGGCCTAAAGAAAGACCTGCAATAGGCAGATTTAGCTCTTGCATAATGAATGTTTAAGATCGTGTGATAAGAATCTACTAATGGTACCTTTAACAAAGTCAAATCATGCTGACCATGCATTCTCCTCTGCTGCTTCCATTGTTTGGAACTCTTTACCACAAAGTGTAAAAAAACAGTGACAATATACAATCATTTAAAAAGAACTTAAAAACAGAACTTTTCCGACAGTCATTCTGTTAAGGACTTAAATGTCACTCTTTCATGTTTATGAAATCATGTGGGAGCCATAAAAAGCTCCTGCCAATTTCAAAAATGAGAAAAAAGCTCCCGTAAAAAAACTTTTCTTAATTTTATTGCTAGAGTATTTCTACATTTTCATGAATAAAAGAGAGCCAAACTTATTAATATTCTCTTTACAAATGTGTTCTTATGGAAGATAAATGCCTTATATTTGCATTCGATATCAGAATGAAAACGAGGGTGACATGTTTGGTGAATATGGTAGCGTTTGAATTACCATCATGGGAACTGATAGCTTGAACAAATGCACTTTAAAAATAAACAAAATCTGAAAGTAGTTTATTAATCTCAATATTTCGGAGAGTAATCTAGCCTCCCGTGAAGGAAAGTCGAGACGTGTCAAGAGGAGCAGGAGTGAAAGTGCACCTTAAACGTAAAGGACCGTAATGACACTGTAATTTGCACCAATGAGCAGCCTTTTGGTTGAATTTAGGCGCTATATAAGACAATTATTATTATTTTTATTATAGATGCAGATGTTTTAAACATCATGAAATGAAAAAGATAACCAGATATAAAATGGATAATTTTCATCAGCTTTTAAAGGGACATTCAAGAGCTAAATCTGCCTACTGCAGGGCTTTCTTTAGGCCTTAAATGTTATCTAGATTATCAATTAGACATTAATTAACAACATGATAAGACCATAATCAGCTGCTCGGGATTTTAAATGGTTTGCCATTTAATGATTTAATTTAAAAATGGATAATTGCGACTTTGTTTAACATCTAATAACGGTAGCAATGACAAGCGTGACTACACTATTCTGCAGTTGATGATAACTCAACTCAGTTCAGCAGCATGAAGCAATTTTTCAGAAATTTTCAACCTATTCCCTTTTCATTATCAATTTTTTTCAACTATTATAGTGATAACTGTCAGCTCTTTATCTAGATCTTACATAATGTATTTTCAGTGATAAAGAAATTTCTTTTGGTGTGAACTATCATCATTGATGTACATACATCTGGTAGTTTTCATGGAAGTCGGGGGGGGGGGGGGGGGTCGGATGGCCGAATTGTTTGCGTTGTATCATAAGGTCTGTCATTGAGTCAACTGGAGTGTTTTTGATTCTTCGGTTGTATGTGACAAAGAGCAGGGGTCCAAACTCATGGGTTTTCTCTTGGTCATTCAGTTTCCTCCCAGTGCTAAAGACCCCTGCGCGCAAGTGAATTATTGAAATAAAATTAAACCATATGTTAGTCCCAAAATGAACTAGTTTGTGTGGAGAGGACATTACAACGCATCTCTCTCTCTCTCCCATGGAAGTGAAATTGTTTTTGTTTTTTTCAAACCTGTGAAAATTCATGAGAGTGAGAGAGAGAAATGGGGTTTAACATCCACTCGACACAAAGTAGGTCATTTCGGGACTAACATATGGTTTATTTTTATTTCAATAATTTGCTTGCGCGTAGGAGTCTTTAGCGGTGGGAGGAAACCGGAGGATCCAGAGAAAACCCACATGGTTAGACAGGTGACCCCACTCCTTGTCATGTACAATCGGGGATTCGAAACCACGCCAGTCAACTCAATGACAGACTTTATGATACAGCGCGCGCACGCCAACCATTCAGCCATCCAACCCCCCAAAAATTCATGAAGAATAGTAGGTTGGATGATGATGATGGAATATTTATAGCTAGCTAGACCTCCCTTTTATTCCATTTCCTTTTAATTTATACCTGGGAGCACAGAAGACTGAAGTTCTATTTTCAACTCTTTTTCTTGCATTCTTTCCTCATTGTTAGTTTCTGTTTTGAGTGAAGCCTGTCTGTATCACATTTCGCTCGGGACTGTACAGCATTTGTACGTTTGTTCCTTGAGATGTCTGTGTATATTGTGTCCTGTACATAGGTTTGTCTTGTGCACGGGGGGTTGGATGGTCGAATGGTTAGCATATGCGCGCTGTATCATAAAGCCTGTCATTGAGTCAACTGCCGTGGTTTCGAATCCCCGGTTGTACGTGACAAGGAGTAGGGTCGCCTGTCCAACCGCATGGGTTTTCTCCGGGTCCTCCGGTTTCCTCCCACAGCTAAAGACCCCTAAGCGAATTATTGAAATAAAATTAAACCATATGTTAGTCCCGAAATGACCTAGTTTGTGTCGAGTGGACGTTAAACCCCATTTCTCTCTCTCTCGTGTCTTGTGCAATTGTTTATGTGTAGTGCAGTCCTCCTGCACTTACTATATGCAACTGTTAGTTTAAAGGGGCATTAGGTGAGATTAGATAAAGAGCTGACAGTTCTCGCAATAACAGGTAAAAAATAGATAATGAAAACTGAATATGCTGAAAATTTCAGCTAAATTGCTTCACTCTTAAGCAAAATATTAGCGATTCAATTTTAGGCTAGACTTGATCATCATTACTAATGCTGGTAAAATAATAAAGTCTTGATTATCCATTTTTACGTTAAATTATCCATCACAAAATGTATTCAAATCCACTAAACAACCCAATTGACTATTGAAGTTTAAGGATTAATTTTTAACAGTGATCGAGAAATTAAATGCTTGTAAATTGGACAATCATTTTCAAAATTGAATGGTCAGCTTTAAACTGGATACAAGTACAAATTAAATGATTTTGAGTGATTTTAAATGATTTTAATGAATTTTTAAACAGAGATTTGATATTGAATGAATGTGAAAGAAATTTGTGCTAAATACACAAGATTAAATAATACCCTGGTTACTGTTAACCAGTATAAGGGACATAACTATGTTTCATTGTTGAAAAATTGTAAATATTTACCATTTTAGAAATTTGCTTGTTATTGTTAAATTTTTGACGTTATAACCCTTAACCGCTCTACGTCATTTTGACGCCATGAAGTCAAGTGGTCAGGCTTAATAAAGGCTAAAGTTAAATATTTTGTATGCCTATTTCAAAAGACCACTGCCAGATAATTATAAGTGATAGACTCTTGACACCAATAATAAAGTTGAAGGGGATAATGAAATGAAATGAAATGGGGTTTAACGTCCTACTGTTTTGCTCCGAACTGGGCTAATGAAGACGGGCATACGCCATACAGTGTGCTATGAGGGTAATTTTGCCCGGACAGCAGCACTACGGCCTACTCTTATATCGAATTCCAACTGTCAAGGGATCTTTTACGTGCACGCCAATGTGTACATGGGACCTCGGTTTTTCGTCTCATCCGAATGACTAGACAGCTGTCCTTGTCAGGCCCTCCGTCCTGCATCACTTACAAGGGGGAACCACGCCGGAAAATCTGGATGAACTTTCTCGGCCAATGCAGGGATCGAACACCCGACCTCCAGGCTAGCGAGCCAGCGCCTTACCCACTTAGCCACCGTGATCCCCTTGAAGGGGATAAGTTGATCTATAATTTGCACATTGTCTCACCTTTTCTAAATCATTTTCATCAGAAATATCATTTTCATAAGCGGTGTCATCGATATAATCCATGTCGGAATCATTCATAAGCATTTCAACCACTTTGAGAGTCTTTAACCTTCCCGACACAGTTAAAAAATTACGTTTTTTGTCAAAAAATGTTGAACAATTAAATACGAAACTAAATACTCAAATGCTGCTTATAAAAAAAGGTTCTTACTGTGGTCGACCGTGACTACTTAGCTGTATAACGTTATGGTGACTACAGTCAACAATGACCGGTTAAGGGCTAATATATGATGTCAACTGACATATCATCGCTATCAAGAAACACCATTCCACAGTCAACAACAATGATCACATCATTGCTATTGCACCTTCTCTTGTATTCGTTGATGAGTTTTTTTCATTGCTATTGCACCTTTTCTTGTATTCATTGCTGAGGTTTTATTCATCTTTTCTGTAGTTTTATTGTGAGTTTGTTTTACATTTTGAGTCCGAGACTATACAGAGCAATGGATGCTTAGGGCTGATACCTGGATTCTAAGGAAATTGTCGGGCCAACAACGGGATATGGATTCCGGGATGCCCTCCCTGGTCAGTGAGTCAGCAGCTATACCACTGAGCCACCCGGACTCACTTAGCAAAAAAAAACAAAACCAAACCACCTACAAACATTTCTCATGAAAATCCAGATCTATATTTCGTTTCATTTTTTTATACTTTCAATGGCCTACACTACAAGATCTGACCGGTTGTAGTGGAAGGCAGCGTCAGAAGTCATACAAGCAGTGTTTGACCCTATGACATCAGACATTCGATTAACCAATCAGTGTTGATGTTTCTAGCGGGTTACCGACAGTTCCATTTACCTCACGCCAGAAACTCGCCGTAAATGTTTCATTAGCTAATCCCTCACATCATCCAGAACGTGGGTTATATAACACATCTTAGTGTAATAAAGACAAGTAAAACAAAATTTTAAACTATAAAAAACGAAACGAAATAGGATCTGTGTTTTAACCAGATTGAACCTTTCACTGCCCATCAACTTTAAACGTGTATTTATTTCACTTACCCACGGCATTCTGTCTTTCTCTCAATGTTTGATCAACAAATAATTTAGTCTTCTTCGGGATGTTAATTTTTTGATTTTGTGATATGGGTGGTCCGGCTAATGCATCTTTTTCTTCAAACTTTGCACTTCTCTTCAATATCTTTACAAACAGGCCTCCACCTAAAAAAAAAAACCACGTAGAAATAAATTAAATCTAAAAGTAAGCTGCATTTAAAGGAGATTTAACAACATATATTTTATTTATTAACGATAAAAACTGACCAGCAGCAACTATAAGTGTTGGAGTTTGGTGGGCCTCTTTTTAATCCAATTAAGTCTTGAGATTATTTACTGTTGATATTTTGGTTAAGTCCAAACCGGGAGATTACACTGTAACCTGGGTATCATTTAATCTTGTGTATTTAGCACTAATTTCTTTGACATTCGTTTAATATCAAATCTTTATTTAAAAATTTGTAAAAATCATTTAAAATCACCCCAAATCATCTAATTTATACTTGTGTCCAGTTTAAAACTGAGTCTAAAGAAAGATTTGATATCAAACGAATGTGAAAGAAATTAGTTATATATACACAAGATTAAATGATACCCAGGTTACAGTGTTATTTACTGTTGATATTTTGGTTCAGTCTAAGTCTTGAGATTATCAAATGTTGATATTTTGGTTAAGTCTATGTCTGGAGATTATCAACTGTTGATATTTTAGCTAAGTTTTCTTTATTAAATGTTAAATAATGATATCCGAAAAATCAGAGATATAAAAACAGAAATTTGATTCCGATCACATGCGTTCTCACTAACCTCTAGTTGTCATGACAAGAGTTCCATCCTCCCGTCCAAATCGACCGAACTGTAAACCTGTAACAATGCCCTCTGTTTTAATAATGTCCACCAGATATTTATCTTTATACATGCGTATCTCGTTATTACTCAATGCAACCAATAACGTCTTGAGTTGACGCGGACTATAATCTAACGTCTTCATCGTTGTTATACTATTCGGTAATTTTATAGTCCATAGTTTCTTTCCCTAAAATAGAAAACATAAATTACTAAAAAAGAAGTTTTTAAATAGTAAACGGGAATATAAACCTTACCTTGAGTGGTACAATAAACCTTGCACAAGTCGGTTTCGTGTAAGTCTGATCTTTGCTCAACTTGGATAAAATTGTTTTGAAACTTTTATCCTGCACGTTTTTCTTATTAAATATCTGCGCGTAAGTTGTATTTTCTAAGTTGGATCTTTGCTCAACTCGGATCAAAATGTTCGCTCCATTCGATCTAATTCCGGCTTTTTTCCTTCGCCTAATTCGGAACGGCAGTATGTTCAGAATTTGACTTTCAGTTTCGTCACGAAGGTCTAAAACGCGGTTAGGTATTCCATACACAGAGCCCCAAAATACTTTCCCCTATTATTTTGGCTCGAATCAGCCTATTTGACAGATTTGGGCAGATATGCTTTTAAACATTATATAGTCAAATGGTGATATCTGTCGCATATCCGGCGAAACTGAATATAATAACAAAAATGGGGGCACAATGTTATACATATTGCACAACGTTTGAAAAGTGTTCTCTTATCATTTTCATGCACAAACCAGTCGTGATTGTTTTCTATATATTATAAAACACAAAAAACATTTATATGGAGTATAAAATACTGATTTATTAAAACATATCAGCAAGTATTCTCTTATTGCTTTTAAACACAAATTAAGGATGGTATATTCTATATATAAATGGTCTTTGTCTATTGTATTCCGTGAAATTATGAAATAAGAGTAGGCCGTAGCGCTGTTGTTTAGGCAAAATTTCCCTTATACCACACTGCGATGCCCATGTTTATCAGCCCAGTTTATGCAAAAATATTGGATGTTGAACCCCATTTCATTTGATTTTTTGGACCATGTACATGTAAGCATGGCTGAAAATAATGACTAATTGTACCTTCCACTCCACTCAACACAAACTAGGCCACTTTGGGACTAACATATATGATCCAATTTTATTTCAATAATTTGCTTGCGCGTAGTTGTATTTAGCAGTGGGAGGGAACCGGGGGATCTGGAAAAAACCCATGAGGTTGTACAGGCGACCCTACTCCTTGTCAATACAACCAGCGAATCGAAACCACAACAGTTGACTCAATGACAGACCTTACAACGCGCATTGAGCTTACCTTAGAAGAATAACATTGCAATGTTTCATCCATACAGCCAACATATATAGTTTTATTAATTCTCTCCATTCCAACAGGCTGTGAATTTAACTCTATACAATATTTACTCCCTTCTTTACTTCCTCTAAAATATATAAATTACACAATCAGAACACTTGATAACACTTCCTGATTATAAAGGTATTCAATTAGATGTAATGATTCTTTAAAAACAAATAAGGCAGAAAACTATGCTGGTGGCCATTATCTGAAGATCAACTATAAACTCTTACCAAGTAGCTTTTAAAATTCCAGAATAAGGCAGAGAGAGAGAGAGAGAGAGAGCGTGTGAGAGAGAGGGAGGGTTTAACATCCACTCGACACAAACTAGGTAATTTCGGGACTAACATATGGTTTAATTTTATTTCAATAATTTGCTTGTGGAGAAAACCAACGAGGTTGGACAGAATGAGGCAGAATTCTGTTGCTCCCATAATCCCCTTAAACTATCTTTATTTCTAGAGAGAGAGAGAGAGAGAGAGAGAGAGAGAGAGAGAGAGAGCCTGGAGAAAACCCACAAGGTTGGACAGGCAACCCTACTCCTTGTCACGTACAACCAGGGAGTCAAAACCATGCCAGTTGACTCAATGACAGACCTATGACAGACCTGATGCACTAACCATTCGGCCATCCAACCCCCACCTTTAATTTCTAGAAGAGGTGTACCCAATGCTTGGAGTTAGAGCAAATCGATATCAATATTAATGGTTTGGGATGAATAAATAACACGTCGACCATGTCATGTTCCGTCACAATCCTATAATATATTCCCCCCAAAATGAAATACAGTTCTGGGTTTACCTTTTTAAAGTATAAATACAACCATTTCTACAGGAAACAACCAGTCGATACTCAACATCATATAAACCATTTACACTTATAAACACTGGTATACTGGGTAAATCGACCTAAACAAAACAAAATAATATAAACACAGGTATACTGGGTAAATTGACCTAAACAAAACAAAATAATATAAACACAGGTATACTGGGTAAATCGACCTAAACACAACAACATAATATAAACCATTTACACATATAAACACATCTTAACTCGGTAAATCAACCTAATTGAATAAAAAGATTTTAAAGGTACAATATTCCTGACAAAAATAAACTTCCAATACATACACAATAAAAATTATAAACCAAAGTTCTAAAGACACACTACTATTGAGCAATCAATTACTCATCTGAATATTGGAGGTTAAAACTGCCAAACTTGAATCGGCCATATCTCAGGGTCAATAAGTTTGATAAAGCCAAAATTATAAATCTCAACTTTTTCAGACAAAATATAAAGGTAATATTTATCCAATAGAGGTAAATAACATTTACACTCGGTTTTTCATCCCATCTGAATGACTAGACAGCTGTCCTTGTCAGACCCTCCGTCCTGCACCACTGACGAGGGGTAACCACGTCGAAAACCCTGATAAACTTTCTCGGCCAATGCAGGAATCGAACATGCGACCTCTAGGCTAGAAAGCCAGCGTCTTACCCACAATGCAGGAATCAAAGATGCAACCTCCAGCCTCTTACCCACAATACAGTTTTAAGTTGAATAAAAAACTCTACATACTGTTGTAAGTACTGTGAAGGCTTCAGGATCTAGGATATAAATAGCTCTATTCTCTGTTCCCACAACTAAACAACTAATAGCATCTTCATCAGCTAGAGACTTCTTTAATGTATCTAAACATGTGATTACTGTCTGAAAATAATATTTTGGAAATAAATAAAAGTAGTCTGTAGAGTGATCACATGAAATTGTGGACGACGGAAATATGCAGAGATTTACCGATCACCGTTGGACAGGGAGACAATAATATACAACCACATTTCCATGTTGGTGTATAAAAATGAAAATATTAAATCTTAAAACCAGTTCCCTATTAAATCAGCAAATTCACATGTAAACTGAGTTTTTGCTAGATAACGATTTGCCAAATCTTGTTGAAATGTTATTTCGTGATAGGATTGTCCCTATTGAGTCCAGGATCTGCTATGTGCAGATACGCTCGTAAACGTTTTGATACGACTGACCACAATATGTGATAACATCTGATAGGATCACCACGATTTCAATCGTAGCACGAACCATAATAGTGGCAACCTAGCATTACAGTTTAATAAACATAATGATTGTATCTATACTAAGTGAAATGAAAATGAAATGAAATGGGGTTAACGTCCTACTGTTCTACTCCTGACTGGGCTAATGAAGAATGGCATTCGCCATACAGTGTGCTATGAGAGAAATTCTGCCCTGGCAGCGGCACTATGGCCTACTCTTATATCGAATTCCATCCGAAGGACTAGACAACTGTCCTTGTCAGACTCTCCGTCCTGCACCACTGACAAGGGGAAACCATGTCGGAAAATCACGATGAATTTTCTGGGTGTCAATGCAGGGATCGAACACGCGAACTCCAGGCTAATGAGCCAGTGTCTTACGCACTTAGCCACCGTCACTCCTCCTCCCCCTCATACAAAGTATTCTAGTATTACGGTCAATGGCTAAATACCTCTCAAAGATTATAATTATATATCTATGTTACCTGTCGTTTTAAAGGGGCGTGTTTATGTAAATTAGCAAATGGTTCTAGATCTGTACTCTCCAGCTGTAAAAACTTTAATGATCTGACTGTTAATAACTGACCATCACTCCTATAAGAGAATATATACTTTTTGTACTATTTCATGAACCAATTTATACTAAATAGGAAATAATTCTTATCCTGATATACTTACAAAACATTTAGGTTTATTTCTTAACAATTTAAATAAAAATATTAATACTGAGAGATAATGAACTTGTGCTGATGTCATTTCTTTCTGTTATAGTACCTGCCAAGTGAAACATTGTTGTGATGAATTGAAAACTTCACCACATAAAAGAGAGAAATGGGGTTTTAACGTCCACTCGACACAAATAGGTCATTTCGGGGCTAACATATGGTTCAATTTTATTTCAATAATTCGCTTGCGCGTAGGGGTCTTTAGCAGTGGGAGAAATCCGGAGAACCCAGAGAAAACCCACGAGGTTGGACGGGCGAGTCGACTCCTTGTCACGTACAACTGGGGAATTGAAACCATGCCAGTTGACTCAATGACAGATTTTATGATACAACGCACACACGCTAAGCATTCAGCCATCCAACTCCCCTTCACAATATAAACAGCCAAATTACACCAAAGTCAAAACAACCAAAAAAGTAGTCCAAATTTTTCTGAATATATATCACTGCATTCCTATTATAAAACAAAAATTTAATCCAGTTTTTTGTGACCGTTCTGACCAATCTACGGTCATTTTGTTTAATATTTTTTAATATATTTCCATTTCATTATCTATTTTTTTACTATATAGCAAGAACTGTCGGCTTTTTATCTAAATTTTACCTAATGCATCTTTAAATAAACTTGTCATTGTCTTACCTTAGTCCCTCTAAAGCATCCCTCAGAACAAATACATTGATGTTATCCTACAAAATAAATAAAGTTTAAAAACAACACTTATATTTTTATTACATATACTCTCACTTTTCATGAGACAATATATTGTTGACAACCCTGTCTGTCCATTCAATTTTTGAGAAACCAGAATATATTTTTTTTATATTGCCTAGCTACGGTAATCTTTGAATTTTGAATTTATTACAGGAATATTTGCAGGAGGAAGTTTGTCAAGTTCCTGTTAAGGAAATTTGACAGTTGAGAATGCATGATGCCATCATCGTCTCTAAATTACGTAGGCATTCATACACACTGAGCTTTTTAAAGAGAGAAATCCAACATCACGTATGATGTCAATTTGTATAATGAATTTATAGGATCACATCAATTTCATTAATGCTAAGCATCAATTGTGATATCACATATGTCTATATCATTATTTCGCCTATTGAACGCCCATCCCATCCCACCATCTAATGATAAAGGATAAAGCAAACGACCGTGACACATTTCTTATAAAAGTGTTATTTTAAAAAAAATTTATGTAGCTGGATCCGCCCCTGAGAACAGTAGATCGTTAAACCCCCATTTCATTTCATTTCATTTCAAAACCTTTTGATAGTAAAATGTAAACATACATGTTTTGCTTGTTCCCACAGTTCTTGTTCTATCTGATTTATACTCAATGGAGGTAGCGTAAACTTAAAATATGGTCGTAAATTTTTATAGATGTATATATATGGACCTGATGCAACAGCAATAGCTAAAAATTAATTAAAAAAATTATAGAAATACATGTAACACATTTATGGGCATTTTAATCATTAATAATGGCAATAAATCTATTCAACGGTCTAGCAATTGCTACATATAAATAGTGTCTACTCTGGCTACTTGAAAACAATTAGAGAAATACTGCAAAGTTCAGTCTTGGAATATGTCCGCAGAGAGAGAGAGAGAGATATATATATATATATATATATAGAGAGAGAGATTAACTCCACTTGACACAAAGTAGGTCATTACAGGACTAACATATGGTTCAATTTTATTTCAATAATTTGCTTGTGTATAGAGGGCTCTAGCAGTAGGAGGAAACCGGAGGACCTGGAAAAACACACAAGGTTGTACAGGTGCCCCTACTCCTTGTCACTTACAACCAGGGAATCGAAACCACGCCAGTTGACTCAATGACAGACCTTATGATGTATTGAAACCACGCCAGCGGGCTCAATGACAGACCTTATGATACAAGGCACCCTGTGCTAACCAATCGGTCATCCCCTCCCCCCCCCCCCAAAAGAAAAATTCAAAAAAGATTAATAGGACAGGGGAAGGAGAAAAAAAGTTTATGATCAGGTTGTCCAGGTAACTGTATAAAAACATGTTTTTGGCCTAATCATAATCTAGTCACATTTCTTTATTCTTGTAAAGGGAGCCACGGGGGCTAAGTGGGGAAGACGCTGGCTCGCTAGCCTGGAGGTCGCGTGTATGATCCCTGCATTGTCCGAGAAAGTTCATCAGATTTTCCGACATCGTTTCCCCTTGTCCATGGTGCAGGAAGGAGGGCCTGATAAGAACAGCTGTCTAGTCGTTTGTATGGATCGATAAATTGATGTCCCGTGTATACATTGGCATACACGTAAAAGACCCATTGGCAGTTGGAATTCAATATAAGAGTAGGCCATAGTGCTGCTGCTTGGGCAAAATTTCCCTCATAGCACACTGTATGCCGTATGCCCGTCTTCATCAGCCCAGTCGAAGCAGAACAGTAGGAATAGGATCTTAAACCCCATTTCATTTCATTTATTTTATCCATGTCCAAATTATATCCCAGCTATATTACCTGGTGTTCTTGGTTCCAATGTATCCATATAAAAATTAACAACGCCAGTAGGTAGGTCTATTATAGCATGTTCACTCATCAGGTTCGTATCTAAAAATAAACATCAAAATAAAAAAATATTGTAACAGATCATGAATCAACAAGCTATTAGTGAGGTGGATGCCCCCAACCCAACCCCACCCCTACTTTAGTCCCCAAGATAATTACTCGCACATTTATCACAGGATTAATCATACAATTTCTTATCTCTATTTAGCCTTTAGGAGAAAATGACCATCATTGAAGGGAGAATGATAGATTGGGGATGGTCCTGCACATTTTAGCACATATTTCATCATATGTGGAATGTGAGTTAGGGTTAGGGTTAGGACATGCAGATTTCATCAAAGTCTTGATGATGCTAACCCTAACCCTGGAACAAGCCTAAACCTTAACCCTAACGTATCATCCATATATAACGTTATATGTGCAGGACTGTCACCAATCTAGAGTTCTCCTCATCGAAGTCAGTCAAGACATTCACTGAAAGAACAATCTGATTATGACACAGATCCTATTTCATTTCGTTTTTTATAGTTCAAAATTTCGTTTTACTTGTCTTTACTACACCAGGATCTGGAAGAGTTGTTATATAACAGGCATTCTGGATGGCGTGAGGCTTTAGGCAATGAAACGATCTGTTACAGCGATCTTTTGGTGTGTGATGCACAGAACTGTGGGTAATCCACTAGAAACATCAATGTAGGCCATCAAAAGTATAAAAAAACGAAACGAAATATAGATCTGTATTTAAATCAGATTACTGAAAGTACATCTTTGTTTAAACATTTTACCTCAATTCGAAGAAGATTATTTTGTCCCAAAAGATGTGACACACAGGCATCCAGAGAGACACCATTTCTCCAAATGATAGGAAACAAATATAATACTTGAAAGAATATCTCTAATACTTGAATCAATATCTCTAATACTTGAATCGACTATTGAGAAATATACGAATGATGTGGCTTGTGTCTTTGAGAGAACCATGAAACCGTGTGTTCCCTAATAGAGTTACCTGGTATTTACCAGCATCGTTTCCCTTTTCATTGATGTAGGACAAAATTTCCATCAAAGTAAACTGTCTTCATTAATTTAGTTGCTGCAGAAAAGTGGGACATTGTACCACAATTCCTTTTTCTCTAAAATTCAGTTGTGAGTAGCATACAAAGTATTTCCGAAGCACTTACTTTTATAAACTTTAAGTTTCATGTCGTAACTGCCTGTGCCAAGATCTGCAATGATCAGTTTCCAGTCACCATCTGCTTGTATATCAGCCAATGTCAAACACTGAGTAAAGGTGTAAAGGGAGGCAACTGGATCATGATAAGCATCGAGCCATTTGGACGTCATTTCACTGAAAAATATATAATACTACCAGTTTACTAAGATTATGAAAATATTTCCTGCAAATTCCATAGTCATATCGAGGTAGCATTACAGGAGTTTTTTTTCTTTCTTCAATGGGTACTCTTCTAGTTAGTACGTACGTCTGTAATATTATAGCCTACAATGACCCCTTCAATGATATAACAGTTTACATAGCATTGCATGGATACAGTCCGGAACTGAAACCAGAAGTGGACTGGTTGTGTATTTCCAGCCCCAGTTTAACCGCCAACCCCAGACAAATTCCAAATCACAAATACACATACATGTATAGCAGAAGACGATTGAACAACAGGGTTCTTTGGTATTCATCCAAGATTCAGAAATTCTTGGATTACTTTCTTAGTATTATTCCAAATAATGGTTTGGACCGGGCGCCAATTGTACATGATAGATTTCTCTATAAGAATGAGATTTTCCGGCTTGGTTCTCCCTTGTCAGTGATGCCGGGCGGATCGCCTGACAAGGACAGCTGTCTAGTCGTTCGGATGGGACGAAAAAACAAAGTCCTGTGTAGTACACATTGTCATTGGCGTGCACGTAAAAGATCCCTTGACAGTTGGAATTCAATATAAGAGTAGGCTGTAGTGCCGCTGTCCGGGCAAAATTTCCTTCATAGCATATTGTATGGCGTATGCCCGTCTTCATTAGCCCAATTTGGAGCAGAACAGTAGGACGTTAAACCCCATTTCATTTCATATTTGACTAGAGTAGAATCTCAATCTGAATATTCTGAATAGTCCTGACGTCCACTAGCTAGATCTATGGTTACTTATCATTTACCTTGCTGTCATTTTTAATTTCGGAGCTACAATGATCACAGCATTTAATTTTCTTGAATAAAAATGTAAATCACAATAAATATGTTACATTTATCTACATTTTTTACATTAGTAAATAAATTCCTTTTCTGCAACCAATGAAAACATTTACACCGGATATCCTGTTAACTAGGTCTGGGGTTAATCGAATAAGGGGATTTTATTGGACAAAACCGCTAAACAACAATATCCGGTTGCAACTTTCAGTTTTTGCGGGAAAGTTTGTTTGTTGAAAAAGTTGACATTTCAAACTGTCCGAAAATTTTATTTTGGAAATGCATTATTAAAAGGTGATAAATTTAGTGATTTCGAATCAAATGTAGGACCTAATCTTATGAGCTAGTCCAACGAAGCCAGTGTCATAAATTTTAAGTAAAATTAAGGACTGCAACTGCAAGCCATCTTTATATTTCATTTGTTTATTTTTTTTACGTCCAAATTGACATTTTATATAGTCAAACAAATGAATAAATGAAATGAAATTGGGCGTAACGTCCTACTGTTCTGCCTAGTCAAATAATCACGAGATCTGTATCAATAGAAGTCTCAGATTTGGGACCTAGAAATTGACTCAAATGGGTCGCAACGCATATAATAATATGTAATATGATTGTATATAAACTGATTTACGTTCAATTGTTTCTGTTTTGACTCTAATTTCAAATAAGTTATCTCCAGCGACATACAGCATGAGTCTCAACCAAATCGCTATTTCTAGCGTCTGGTTATTCCAGTCTATTGCGCATGCTCTAATGACGTCACCGTTTGACATGAGTTGTGGAATATGCCTAGCCTCGTTCTTTCTCGGTCACTTGTTACAAGTGATGCACTATGGTACACGATTCGTTTACCAATGTTAAAAAATTTTTATTTTATCTAAATATTGGATATCAGAAGCCTACCTTTTCCCGGTAAGATTACAGCATCAATGTTGATTTGATTTGAATAATAATTTGTGTTTTTAACGTGTAAGACTTTGTATGATATTGAGTTGAACAAAATTCGGCTGATCTGCTTACTTTTTTAGGCGGTTCTTTTTTTTACAAAGATGATATCAGAAATGGAAAATCTGAAATAGGCGAAGCGCTTATTTTTCAATCCCAAGTTAATGGGCCCTAACCCATAATCCATATACAAAGGATAAAAGAAGAAAAACAAATGAAAAGATGAATGAAAAAAGTAGTCAGATCAACCAACAGGGCCCAAAATCCAAATTGTGAAGGGTTGGGGGTAGTGGTAGTGAGCTAATAAAAGATACATTATATAAGATTTAGATAAAGAGCAATATATATATATATGTAAGTTTTATAAGGTGTTAATTTTATTTGGTGTATGTTTTATATGTGTAAGTTTTATATGGTGTAAGTTTTATATGTGTAAATTTTTTATGTGTAAGTTTTATATGGTTTAAGTTTTATATGTGTACATTTTATAAGGTGTTAGTTTTATATGTAAGATTTATATGGTGTATGTTTTAAATGGTGTAAGTTTTATATGGTGTATGTTTTATATGGTTTTATATATGTAAGTTTTATAAGGTGTTAGTTTTATATGGTGTAAGTAAGTTTTATATAGTGTATGTTTTATATGGTGTAAGTTTTATGTGTAAGTTTTATATGGTGTAAGTTTTATGTATGTAAGTTTTTTATGGTGTAGGTATAAGTTTTATATGGTGGAAGTGTTACATGTATATGGTGTAAGTTATATAAATGTAAGTGTTATAATGGTGTAATTTATAGAAATGTAAGTGTTATATGGTGTAAGTTATATAAAATGTAAGTTTTATAAAAAGTAAGTTTTATATGTGTATGTTTTATGTGGTGTAAGTTATATAAAATGTAAGTTTTATATGGTATAAGTTATATAAAATGTAAGTTTTATATGGATGTAAGTTTTGAAACTTTATACTAAACATCATTGAGTTCCTGTTAAATTGTATGTATTTTACTTTTTATTTTCTTTAATTGGCAGATTGACTTGAACTATACTATTGTGATTGATAATGGATTCTGATCCTGAAGAATTATATGGAAAACGAAAGAAGAAAAAGTTAAAATGCCCAAACCCTTTATTTGAACAATGGTTGACTGAATGGAGAGATGAAGCTGCCTTGAAAGGTTGGAAAAGTCAATTTAATTTTGGAAAGGTACTCTACCAGTTTTTATTTTTATATGCCCACATTTTCATGGAGACGTATTATGTCGTTGCCCCTGTCCGTCGTGGACCCGTCCATAATTTGTTTGTGGACATTCTACAGGTCAAAACTTTTATCCGTTTTGACAAAACTTAAAATATAGGTCTATCTCCCAAAGATCTTGGTTCCTTTCAAAATTGGCATGTTGATGGGCCTCTTTTTAATCCGATTGAATCCAAGGCTACGTTAGCTAGGTGACCTGCCAAAGTATCACGCAAGATGGAGAAATGAAACATCAAGAATGAATGGAAGTTGTACTGACTGTTAACTTAAAAACTAATATTAATGATTTAAGAATATATAATTATCAAGATTTATTTTGGTGCAACAAATGTTTTGATAAAAAAAAATTTATGGGTTAACCAGTTGCGTTTGGGTTTTTAACGACTAGTGAACCGGTTCAATAATTTTTGAACTGTTACATCCTTAATCCAAACTATTCTATTCTCAAGCAACCATTAATATTTGGTTTTGTTTTCTTAATAAAGATACATTATGGAAGATTAGATAAAGAGCTGGCAGTTCTCACTATAATAGTTAAAAAATAGATAATGTAAAGGCAATTTGCTGAAAATTTCAGTCAAATTGATCCACCCTGAACCAAGTATTTAGCGATTGAATTTTGGGCCTAGCCTCGATCATCATTACTAAAGTCGGTACGATAAAAAATATAGTCTCAATTATCCATTTTTTGATTTAATCAGAAGCAGTAGACCGGGTTCCAATCCAGTAAATATCGCAGGCTAGCGATGACATCGAGAGTTGATTATGGTCTAGATAAGTTAATTAATGTCTTATTAATTATATAGATAACATTTCAGGCTTAAAGAAAGACCTAGGCAGATTTAATATTGGAGAAATCTGATGCTATTGAGAGTTGATTATAGTCTGGATAAGTTAATTAATGTCTAATTAATAATTTAGATAACATTTCAGGCCTAAAGAAAGACCTGCAATTGGCAGAATTAGCTCTTGCATAATGTATGTTTCAATAAATGTTAACTAATCAATTCAAGTACACTTTAGCTTGGATAATGCCATGGTCAATTTGAAGGACAATCAAAATAGAATACAGGGTGCATTTGTTCTAATATATCATATTTTTTTTAGGCCCTAGCTACGTTGAAGAAATTCCCATTACCTCTAGCGAACGGAAAAGAATGCAAAATGTTGAAAAACTTTGGTAAGTGATTTGATATTTGGCTTCTCATTTCTTCAGGAAAAACACCTAGTAACAAAAAGTTTTCAGTTTCTCCTCATACACGTATGTCCAAATATTTAAGCTTTGTAATGTTGAACAAAATTTGGTCCCGTGTTGTGTGCTCTAAAGAAATATGTGGGTAGTACATAACACTTATGGTTATTTTGCCTTTTCGACAGCTTTAAATTGTCAGGGGACTTGTATCTTTTTACACAACAAGCACCCTGGAATAAGGATTTTTAATGTCTAAAAATCTTATTTTCACCAAAAATGAACATAGTACAGTTGTGCTCTAAGCCATCGATATTGGCGTGCACGTAAAAGAAACCTTAACCGTTGGAATTCGATATAAGAGTAGGCCGTAGCGCCACTGCCCGGGCAAAATTTCCCTCATAGCACACTGTATGGCGTATGCACGTCTTCATTAGTCCAGTTTAGGAGCAGAACAGTAGGACGTTAAACCCAATTTCATTTTGAACAAAGTAATTAGTTCTCTTTGTACAGAATAGTTATACCTCTATAATATTTTTCAGAAATATTGTGGGTGGTCAAGTATTGTTCACGTTTATAATATAATTATCAGATTTATTTATTTGTTTTCAGGTGATAAAACATGTAAAATGTTGGAAACTAAACTAGCAGAACATGTGGCTCTCTATGGTGAGGACAGAATTTTTTTTTTTTTGTATCAAATATTTAAATGTATTTTTACATCTGAGGATATTCCTATTTTCAAAAATGCTAATTTTTTCCTTTAGGGATTAACCAATTAAACGGTCTGTAATGCAAGTTTTTGGTTTGAGGTGCACAGAACTGTGGATAACTCACTAGAAACATCAACGCTGATTGGTTAATCAAATGTCTGATGCCATAGGGTCAAAAGCCGCTCGTCCATTTTTAGCTTAAATCAAAATATGGCTGAACTGTTCTAATCTATTTAATACATGTCAGATCACATTGTTTGTTCATGGGAAGGTATCTTAAACCTATATGATAAGATAAAAAACTATTTTAGGTACAACAGCTCCAGTGTCGGCAACCACAACTTCATCAACAAACGTGACATCTCTATCATCTTCAACTGTCACATCAACCAATCATATTACTCCATCTTCTATAATGTCAACAAATACAGCGTCAACATCCCACATCACAGGTGTTGACAGCAGTGATTCAGATACAGTTGATAACTTGGTGAATGCAAGACCTCCTAAAGTAATGATTTCTCGATTTCACCTTTCAAATGGGCTGACACCAGACTTTTCACTTTAAGCTTCTACTAGCCAGTTATTGATTTCTCTGAGAATAGGAGCCACGGTGGCTCAGTGAGTAAGATGTCGGTTCGCTAACTTGGAGATCCTGTGTTCGATCGCTGCGTTGGTCGTAAAAGTTCATCAGGATTTACAGCATTGTTCAGTGGTGAAGGACCAAGGGCCTGTCAAGGAACAATGTATAGTTGTTCGGATTGGACAAAAATCCAAATGCCTTGGTAGTTTGAATTTGAAATAAAGAGTAGGCTGTATCGCAGTTGTCTGGGCAAAATTTGCCTCATAGCACACTGTATGGTGTATGTTGGATTTCATTGGCCCAGTTGGAGCAGAACAGTAGGACGTTAAACCCAATTTCATTTCATTTTCCAGGGTGGTTGATTGGCCGAATAGTTAGTGTGTGCACGTTGTGTGATAAGGTCTGTCATTGAGTCAACTGACACGGTTTCAATTTTTCGGTTGTACGTGACAAGGAGTAGGATCGCCTGTCCATCCTTGTGGGTTTTCTCCGGTTCCTCCGGTTTCCTCCCATTGCTAAAGACCCCTACACGCCAGCGAATTATTGAAATAAAGTTGAACGATATGTTAGTCCCGAAATGACCTAATTTTTAGAATTAACTCAGGAAATTTTATTTTGAGAATTAGCCTGGAACATTTTATTTTTAGAATTAACTCGGGAAATTTTATTTTTAGAATTAATCTGGGACATTTTATTTTAGAATTAACCGGGACATTTTATTTTAGAATTAACCGGGACATTTTATTTTAGAATTAACTCTGGACATTTTATTTTAGAAAAAGCATGGGCCCTAACTGATTTAGGTCGATTAAAGGAAATGGAAACCTTACTGTTATAGCAAAATTTTCCCTTTCCTTACTTATAGTCATGTAATATTTACTTGAGATTGAAAAAAACAGGAAATAAGAAACATACTGTTATTGTGAAATTCTCTGCTTCTGCTGTAATAAAGTGATGTTTATTTTTAGAAAAGAAGAAAGTCTTCTGGTAATACAGAGTATATACCGAGTTATCGAACTGGACCCTACGCCATATTACTGGCCTTGTATACAAATAGACAGGTATAGTTTATAATCTGTATTAATATTAATCTGTGGGAGCTGACATTATTATATTACCTTTTTTCTTTTTTGTCCCGGCTATCATTGATAACAGCGCATCAGAGCTAGATGTTGGCAGCTGGTGCTCTATAAATGTCCATTATTATTATTATTAATCTTCTGATAAAATAGACATGCTTTTAATTACAGGATGCTAATTGCAAAGGTTATTTAACGAAGACAGAATTAATTCGATTGGCTCAGCCATTAACTGATACATCATTGACAGAAGTATGTGATAGTTTTCTTATTTCAAGTGCCACTGAGCTGAGTTTTCTTACATATTATCATCGTGGCTCATTGGGGTGGCTATGTGGGTAAGACGCTGGCTCACTAGCTTGGAGGTCGCGTGTTCGATCCCTGCATTGGCCGAGAAAGTTCATCAGGATTTTCTGATGTGGTTTCCCCTTATCATTGGTGCAGGATGGAGGGTCCAACCAGGAAAGCTGTCTAGTCGTTCGGATAGGATGGAAAATCGATGTCCCGCGTATACATTGGCATGCATGTAAAAGATCCCTTGGCAGTTGAAATTCGATATATAAGAGTAGGCCATAATGCCTCTAACGGGCAAAATTTCCCTCATAGCACACTGTATGGCGTATGCCCGTCTTCATTAGCCCAGTTCGGAGCAGAACAGTAAGATGTTAAACCCCATTTCATTTCATTTCCTAATCCTGGCTCCCTGGATTGATCCAAGTGTTGGTAGAGAAAGGCCTGTTATGGAAAGTCATCTAGTGGTATGAATGGGACCAAAAATAGCGCTCTCCCCGTTGTTGGCGTGCACATAAAAAAAAGAAAACAGGGGGCTAGGGTGGCTCAGTGAGTAGGACGTTGGCTCGCTAACCTGGAGGTCCCTACACCAAGATTTTCCAGCGTGATTTCCTAATGTCATGACAATTGAAATTCGGAATACATGTATGAGTAGGCCCTAATGCCACTGTCCGGGCAAAATTTCCCTCAAAGCACACTGTACCATATTAAACCCCATTTCGTTTCATTTTATAAAATAACCTTTGATAGTTCGACAAAGAGTAGATGAAAATATTCCTCATAGCACCCTTCACTATGTTTCAAAATATCAAAGTGTCATGGCAAATCACTGATCCAAAAAAGTTCCCCAAATAGGCCAACATTTTTATCAAGTCTTCTAGCTAAACCTTTACCTCCTACTTCTCTAGTCTTGATGTTTTTAGCAATGCACTTAGCCTTGATGTTTGAGATTTTCAGGGTATACTTAGTAAGTGTTCTATTTTTCAGCCTGATCCTGCTAATGCCCAGAGATATACAGGCTGGTCATCCATGTCAACACTTATAAAGAAAAACTTAGTTTACAAAGAAAGAAGTCCAGCACAGTAAGTCTTGTCATTTTGGGACTAATATATTTTTCAATTTTATTTTTCTCAGTGGAATGATCCAGGGGAAACCCATGAAGTTGGACAGACAACACTTACTTCTTGTCACGTACAAGCTTGGCATCGAAAGAGAGAGAGATCGTTGATATTCAGAGAGAGAGAGAGAGAGAGGATTTAACATCCACTCGACACAAACCAGGTCATTTTTGGGAGTAACATGGTTGAATTTTATTTCAATAATTGGCTAGTACGTAGTGGTATTTAGCAATGAGAGGAAACTAGGTCATTTTGGGAGAGAGAGAGGGGATTTAGCATCTACTGGCCATCTTCATTAGCCCAGTTTAGGAGCAGAACAGTAGGACGTGAAACCCCATTTCATTTCATTTCATTTCATTTAGCATCCACTGGACACAAACTAGGTCATTTTGGAACTAACATATGGTTCAGTTTTATTTCAATAATTCACTTGAGTTTAGGGGTGGTAGGAAACCAGAGGACCTGGAGAAAACCCACGAGGTTTGGACAGGCAACCTTACTCCCTGTTGTGTACATTCGGGGAATCGAAATCACGCCAGTAAATTCCATGACAGATCTTATGATACAGCGCGCACACGCTAACCATTTGGCTGTCCAACCCTCCACACATTAAACGGAATGGCCATCATCTTGGTTTGGGTTGGTGTACAATGTTTTATTATCAGAATGGCTATTAATATATTTAAAATGTTGCTATGCCAATTGATATTGCAGAAAATTTGTATTACAATATCTCAAATTATTTTTTTGTCAACCCTATCTTTTTAATTTTTCTAGGTTTAGTCTAACTGAAGCAGGGTGTAACTTGGCACATAGATTACAGCATGTTGACAGGAAGTCTACTTTTAGCAACCAATCAGATCACTTGCACACAGATGACACACCTACTTTACCGTCTCTAGACCAATCAAATTCAGATACCACACCTATTTTACCATCTCTACACCAATCAAATGATTGGATGGATGTAGAAAGTGAAAGTAGAATAACTGATGTGTCTCCTCCTTCAGAAAATGATAACAGGTAAAAACGACTGCATGAGAAACAAAAAATTATTTCAAGATCAACAAAAATTATCAGAAACTCTGTTGTCTTTCTAGTATCCGTCTGCTTAAATAATGATAAGAGTTATGCCCCTTTATTACCATCTCTACACCAATCAAATGATTGGATGGATGTAGAAAGTGAAAGTAGAATAACTGATGTGTCTCCTCCTTCAGAAAATGATAACAGGTAAAAACGACTGCATGAGAAACAAAAAATTATTTCAAGATCAACAAAAATTATCAGAAACTCTGTTGTCTTTCTAGTATCCGTCTGCTTAAATAATGATAAGAGTTATGCCCCTTTATTACCATCTTTACACCAATCAAATGATTGGATGGATGTAGAAAGTGAAAGTAGAATAACTGATGTGTCTCCTCCTTCAGAAAATGATAACAGGTAAAAACGACTGCATGAGAAACAAAAAATTATTTCAAGATCAACAAAAATTATCAGAAACTCTGTTGTCTTTCTAGTATCCGTCTGCTTAAATAATGATAAGAGTTATGCCCCTTTATTTTCCGTAAAATGTCCCACCAAGAAAAATTTTGAAATCCCATCACTGCTTTCTACCCTTCAGTTAATGGAGTCTTTCAGTGTTATGTATTCTGCCCTCTCTCACTCTCTTTCTCTTTCTCTGGTTATGTGACGACTCTGTAGTAAATGTCTTTAAAAAAAAAATTTTATAACTTTGAATATTAATCACTAAGTAATTTTCCCCAAACTTTGGATACTGTTAGAGTACAATGTGATATGCTCTAGCAAACAAACCCTCAAAGTTTTAAATTTTTGTGGAAGAGATTAACTCTGAAATTTATGATTGATATAATCTGGCAAGGAAATTGTCTAGTTGTTGGGTTTGGCATAGAAATTGATAGTTTATGTAAGAGATCTCTTCTCTGTGGGAAACTTTATGGCATATTTATACCCATCTTCATTACTCGGTGCTGGCACAATGTATGGCATATACCCATCTACATTATCCCAGTTGGTGCTGGCACAATGTATGGCATATGATACCCATCTTCATTATCCCAGTCGGTGCTGTCTTCATTCATTATTTATGACATTGTAATTATATTACAGGTTGAGATATTGTTATTATATTTTATGATCAGTAGTGGAATACTGCGTTTTATCAGTGAAATAAAAGTGTTATTCCACTGGCTAGCAGTAGTCCATGTTGTTTTTACCTAAAATGATTGTAAAATCATAAAATAAATAGAACATTTGTCGTTTTGTCGTGAATAACACATTTTATTTCATCTCGAAGCAAGAAAACGTTTATATTTTCACTCATGCTACGCATTCGTGAAAATATAAGTTTTCTTGCTTCTCGATGAAATAAAATATGTTATTCACTCTAAAAAGACAAATATCCTCTATATATTACAGGTTGTTATTATATTAGAGGTTGAGATATTGTAATTATATTACAGGTTGAGATATTGTTATTATATTACAGGTTGAGATATTGTAAATATATTACAGGTGGAGATATTGTAATTATATTACAGGTTGAGATATTGTAATTATATTACTGGTAGAGATATTGTAATTATATTACTGGTAGAGATATTGTAATTATATTACAGGTTGAGATATTGGTATATAACAGAGGATGATCAACAAGTATTACGTAAAGATAAAGCAGCAGTTAATATTGATGGTTAGCTATCTCATCTTAAACAAGAGAAAGAAAGCGAGAGTTTAACGTTTGCTTAACACAAACTGGATCTTTTCGGGACAAATATCTGGTTCAATTTTCTTTTATTAATTTGGTTATGCGTAGGGGTTTTAACACTAGGGACCGGGTATCATTCAGATTTGATGAAAAAAGGAAAGAAACTGAGCTTACCATCTATAATCTAATACACATATTCAGTTAATAGATTGCCATGCAGAAAGTGTTAAATACCATCAAGATTCATCAAATAACGCCCAGTTTGTGCTACCGTTTAGTTTGACATCGGTTGTCTAGTTTATGAAACTAAATGGTCATAAACTGGATGACCAATATCAAAACTAAACTAAATGGTCATAAACTAGATGACCGATGTCAAAACTAAATGGTGTTTCTTAAACTAAACGGTAGCACAAACTGGGCGTTATTTGATGAATCTTGATGGTATTTAATACTTTCTGCATGTCAATCTATTAACTGAATATGTGTATTAGATTATAGATGGTAAGCTCAGTTTCTTTCCTTTTTTCATCAAATCCGAATGATACCCGGTCCCTGGTGTAAGTAGTGGAAAGAAACAGGTGAACCTGGAGATAGTCCATCATTTTCCATATTTTACTTTTTTTGGATTAGTTGATTTCAAATTATTATTATTAGTTAATTTCATAGGAGACAAAGAAAAAATGAATGGTTAAAATGAAATCATTTAAAATAGTCAAAACATTTTGAATTTGAATATTTGTGTGAGTACTATTCAATCTAGTTATAGTTCAAAATTTCGTTTTACTTGTCTTTATTACACTAGGATCTGGAAGAGTTGTTATATAACCCATGTTCTGGATTAGCCAATGAAACAGTCTATTACGGCAAGTTTTTGGCGTGAGGTGCGTGGAACTTTGGGTTAACCACTAGAAACGTCAACGCTGATTGATTAATCATTGTCTGACGTCATAAGATCAAAAGCTGCTCGTATGACGCCTGATGCGACCTTCCACTACAGCTGGTCAGATCTTTGTGTAGTGTAGGCCATCGAAAGTATAAAAATAACGAAACGAAATATATATATATATGTATTTTAATCTGATTGGAGTACTAGTAATAAGTATAAACCCTATCGAAACTAAGAGCCCACCTAGCATCAAATATTTATATAAATTGATGACAGCTTAAGATTATCATTAGTCAATTGTTACCATATTGATTGTTTTGGTTTTTTTTCTCATTTCAGATAATTTTGGACTGGGTTTTCTGATTAAAGTTGATTATACCAAATTAATTATGTCTGGTAAAAAATATTCATTAGATTTAACCAGGTATGTTGTTGTAATATAAGAGATAAGAAGGGCTATGAAGACCTGGTGTCCTGGGTGTCAGTGACTAGTTTCGTTTTTATTGAACTCTTCAGACTGATTGGACTCATGTGACGGGTGGTCTCAATTATACTATTCCGGTGGTGTTTCCATGGTTAATAATTGGTGGGGTTACCGGGGTTGGTCTCTTGGCGGGGTTTGCGAATTTGTTACTGGGGCCCGTAGCTTGCTTACCGGGGTTGTACAGAGGTTTGACAACTGATCGTTTAGAGTGAAGTGCTATAGTGTCCATAATTTTGCTAACTAGGATGCCTTTGGTTGGTTTGTAACATTGTTACTTGTCATAACAATAAAGGGATAGTATATAGACAAGGGTGTTGAGGTAACACCTGTGAGAGGGTTAAAAGGCTAAATATAAATCCAAAGTTGGAACACTCAGGGGTAGAACATTGTAAAACAAAAATAAAAATGGTTGGGGTGCCCAAGGTTAGATTTGTCGTTGATTCCATAAAGTAGTTAGTTATGTTGTTGATTTAAATATTATGACCATACTGTTTGGACCAGATACGGAATATGATGTCATTGCAGCCATTTTGAAATTGTGACATAGTATAGATAATTGAAGGCTCTCATTCAATGCGTAGTTGTCCAAGGGATAAGCCTGCCAAGTACCATGTCGATTGTACTTAAAGTGGCAAAAGGCTTAGGATTTTTTCACCCACAAGAACAGCAACAACCAGGAAATTAAACACTTGTAAATTAGACACTGATTATCAAAATTGAATGGTCAATTTAAACTGGACACAAGAACAAATTAGATGATTTTTGGTAATTTTTTTTTACGAATTTTTAAAGAACGATTTGATATTAAACGAATGTGAAAGAAATTAGTGCTAAAAACACAAGATTAAATGATACCCATGTTACAGTGTTAATTAATGTATATTTTAGACCATTAGGAGATGCTGTCTATGCTTATATTGCTGATAGTGATGCTGATGAAACAGCCTGTCCTCTTGATGTTATAAAAATAAAACCAGCAAGTGGTATGTATAACATGTATAACATCACTCATCTTAAAGTAGCTGACTCAATATGATTCCCTGGTTGTACGTGGCAAAGAGTAGGGTCGCCTGTCCAACCTCGTGGGTTTTCTTTGGGTCCTCTGGTTTCCTCCCACTGCTAAAGACCCATACACTCAAGCGAATTATTGAAATAGAATTGAACTAAATGTTAGTCCCAAATTGACCTAGTTTGTGTGATGGATGTTAAACTCTCTCTCTCTCTCTCTCTCTCTCACTCTCCTTGAAGAAATGAAATGACATGGGGTTTAACATCCTACTGTTCTGCTCCGAACTGTGCTAATGAAGACGGGCATACGCCATACAGTGTGCTATGAGGGAAATTTTGCCCGGACAGCAACACTACAGCCTACTTTTATATCAAATTCCAATGGTCAAGGGATCTTTACATGCGCGCCAATGTGTACACGCGACATCAGTTTTTCGTCCCATCCGAACGACTAGACAGCTGTCCTTGTCAGGCCATTCGTCCTGCATGAGTGACAAGGAGGAGACCACGCCGGGAAATCGAGATGGACTTTCTCGGCCAAGGCCTCCTTGAAGAAGTGATATATTAATACCCCCATATCTATAAACAGACCTTATCCACCCAAAACTACTGTTCTTTGACTGGCCGAGGAGATATGTGAATGGCCCCCCGTGTTGTATGACCAAACACTAGCTCTTTACAGCGTGAATGCTATTCATGTGACTCATGAAAACAATTTAATTGTAACACCATTTTGCTAAAATATTGAGAAATTGCATCCCATCATGTTTTCTAATTAGACATTTTTCACATTTAACAATCCTTGTGTTTCCATTGATACAAATTTAACTTGGTTTTAGGTATAAATAAAGAAGTTGGGGACCCTTCAGGACTAAATCTTATTGTATAGCCATTTGATGTAAAAGTTCTTAAGTTTGAATCCATTTTGATTTTGGGTATACAAACTAATTTTGTGATTTAATATAACTTGTTTGTGTTTTTACAGAATCGGCATCTTCAACTGTCTCATCAAATAAACAGAAGGCAGACTCTAGAGCTTCCAACCCTAAAAAAACATCGAAATCAAAAACAGTTTCATCAAGTGTTACTAATTCTGTCAATTCTCTTAAAATTAGTTCTAGTTCGGACCCTGTTTTAAAGAAAAATACAACAGTTCCAGACAAAACAGGAGTTCCTGAAAATGTCAGAACTGATTCTAATACAAGAATACCTTATATAGAAATAGATAGCTCATCGAATTCTCAGTCGTCCGTGGCTTCAAGTGTGACCTCCACCGTATCCAGTCTACCTGTACCAGAGTTTGTGTTACGACCAGGAGAGTTTGAAGTTGTGTTATGTATTGATAATAGAGAGTTCTATGGAAGGTTGGTGTTGACATCTATTATAACACAGGTGGTGAATGGATCAGAAGGTCTCTCATTGATTGAAGTGGCGTGGTTTTGATTCACCACTTGAGTGTGACAAGGAGTAGAGTCGCCTGTTGAACCTCGTGGGTTTTCTCTGTATCCTCAAGTTTCCTCCCACAGAGACTCCTATGCGCAAGTGAATTATTGAAATAAATATGTTGGAATATGTTGACCATGAATTCTATGGAAGGTTGGTGTTGGCATCTATATCACATGGAGGGGTGAATGCTTAACGTTGGATTACAAGGTCTTTCATTGAGTCAAGTGGCGTGGTTTTGATTCACCGCTTCAACGTGACAAGGAGTTTTCTTCGGGTCCTCTGGTTTCCTCCCACTGCTAGAGACCCCTATGCGCAAGTGAATTATTGAAATTTACTGAAATAAAATTGAACCATTTGTTAGTCCCGAAATGACCTAGTTTGTGTGGAATGGACATTAAACTCTCTCTCTCTCTGTCTTTCCCTCTCTTTGTGGAATAGGTTGATCAAATTATCTTGTTATTTTGTCTAATTTACTGTTGATTTTTGTTATTTTTACTACTAAATCCATTTCTAAGAGCCTTCTAGCAAATTTTCTGATAAAACTGTATTATTTTTGACAGTACTAAGTCAAGCTCGAAGATCCTTCTGCCCGATTTAATCAAGAACAATGTGCAGTGCGATCTTCGTGAATTACATGTCGGAGATTTATTGTGGGTTGCAAGGGAAAAAAAATCACACAACTTAGGTAATGTTCACATTCTAATTAACCAGAAAACAACATTTATTTCCATAAAAATAAAAAATACGAAAAAGTCACATTTTGTTTGAACTTTGATAGACGATAGCACCCTCTAAAAATTTTGTGTTCTTTTATTTATTTATTTTCTCGTCGATTCCAACATAAATTGAGGGTATCCCCTCAACTTTTCAAAATTTTGCAAAATAGGGACCATCCTAATCGCTGTATAATATCTGTAAGCTGTATAATAATCAGTGTTTTGAGATTGTTTTTTTTTGTTATGTATCACCAGGAGATGATGGAAGAAGTAAAGAGCTGGTATTAGATTTTATTATAGAGAGGAAACGAATGGATGATTTGGTTGGTAGTATGGTGGATGGAAGATTACAGGATCAAAAGGTACACCAAGTGATTACGGTGGCTTAATATGGTGGTTGATAGTCCGGGGTTCATACTGATGCTGTATGAGAGAGAGAGAGAGAGAGAGAGAGTGAGTGAGTGAGTGAGTGAGTGAGTGAGTGAGTGAGAGTGAGTGAGTGAGTGAGTGAGTGAGTGAGTGAGTGAGTGAGTGAGTGAGTGAGTGAGTGAGTGAGTGAGTGAGTGAGTGAGTGAGTGAGTGAGTGAGTGAGTGAGAGAGAGAGAGAGAGAGAGAGAGAGAGAGAGAGAGAGAGAGAGAGAGTGAGAGAGAGAGAGAGAGAGTGTGAGAGAGAGAGAGTGAGTGAGTGAGTGAGTGAGAGAGAGAGTGAGAGAGAGAGAGAGAGTGAGAGAGAGAGTGAGTGAGAGAGAGAGTGAGAGAGTGAGTGAGAGTGAGTGAGTGTGAGAGAGAGTGAGAGAGAGAGTGTGAGTGAGTGAGAGTGAGTTATGATGTACAATGTATATGATTCCAATATAACGGATCTATTATTCAGGGTCTCAGGGTTGCAATATTACATTTTAACGGCAAATCGGGATAGATTAATCCATATACGTTGTCTATTGACAGCCATAGGGATTGACGTCCATTCGACAAGAACTGGGTTTTTTTTGGGACTAACATATGGTTCAATTTTCTTTCAATAATTTGTTGCGAGTATGGATATTTAGCAGTCGGGTGAAACCCGAGTGCCCGAGGAAAACTCACGAGGTTATACGAGGTTATATAGTCCAGTTAACGTAGGAGTTAGCTATTCCAGATTAAATGTGGTCTGAACCCTGAAACATGCGTATTTGTAGTTATCTCCCTTCTATTACAAAAGAACATAAATTAACACGTCATCGTCATAATATGGTTGACTGACTCAACGAGATCTTGGAACATAGAATTGAATTGGTGAAGCCATATATCGATGTATTGAAAATATTTTGCTCTGGGTTGATGTAAAAATGTAAAATGGTTGGGAAGATGTGTTAAAAAGGAATGGGTTCGATTATATTGAACGGGCTACTAACAGATGCCTATTCACAGGTGCGATCCCACTACTGCCGGACACGGGGACTTTTGCCTGCTGCATTTCTGCCCTGGGCCGGTTCGTCCCTCCTTAGACAACCTGGATACTACGGGCTCCCCCATTGAATCCATATTGATGCTTGGCTTAGTGCGGACACCTGATCGACATAGCACACCTGAGAGCAGGAATCCCATTCTCAAACTGTCCTCCATTCCAGGCCTCTAAGTAGCTAGATTACAGGAGCTCGCCGCAACTCCCAGCCACTTAACTTTGGATTAAATAGACTAATAAACTTCACTTACATATTTCGATGAAACGAAGATCCCAAGCAAAACTATTATTACGACACAGGCTAGGATGTGGATTTTTGTAGGGATTGTTAACGTTATGATCCTTTTTTACGAGTGTTGGGGGCGGTTCGTTTTTATCATGTATTATAAATTTGCCGTAACTTAGTATTCTCTACACAAGTCTCGCTAGCCAGTATTCATCAGTGTGGACTGCAAAGGAAGGTAACTCTGTATGGGAGATTGGTAACTTAGGTGTTTGATTAGGCTTGTACGTCCACCGTCAGTAGGGAAATTGGTCTGATTTCTTGATTGAATCTCGTATTATCGTGTGGTTCTGACAGTGTTCGACGTTCGGCAAAAATCGTCTCCGTATCGAGGTCTTCCCATTCACACTGATCAGCAGTGAATATTCGCTGATACTGCTTCCCTTTATTACCGACCGACTTTAAATTAGAATAATATTGCCTAAGTTCTGATCACTTGTGTTAGGTTGGGGCCCCACATACTCAAGGCCCCTTGGCCCCCACCATGGTTAATCCGGCGCTGGCAGTTATTATACTGGTATTAGTGGTATATAGAAATTTGATGACAATGGATTATCATTTGATAATTCTGGGTAGTATTGCGTAGCGATGGGTTATTTGCCAATCGGATTAAAATACAGATCTATATTTCGTTTCGTTTTTTTTTATATACTTTACACTACACGAAGATCTGACCAGTTGTTATGGGAGGTCGCGTCAGAGGTCATACGAGCGGCTTTTGGCCCATAACGTCAGATATTTGATTATCCCATCAGCATTTATCTTTCTAGTTGATTACCCACAGTTCCGTGTATCAAACGCCAAATGATCGCCGTAACAGACAATTTCATTGGCTAATCCCTCCCTCACAAGTCTTCCAGATCCGAGTGTATTAAAGACAAGTGTAACGAAATTTTGAACTATAAAAAACGAAACGAAACAGGATCTGTGTTTTAATCAGATTGGTTATTTGAATATTGAGATTATATCGCTAATCGCATCTGAAGTACCTTTTCCCTGATGTAGCTCATTGTTATTAATAATAATAATAATGTATATTTTTAAAGCGCCAATCCATCCACAAATGCATGCTCTAGGCGCGTACTATGTACTCTATTGTCACTATATACACACATATCTGGATCCACTCTAGCTAAAATGCAATGGTAAATAGATGAGTTTTAGCACATTCGTCATTGACTAATTACATTTCATTCTGGGCTTGCCACGAGACGCGTCACGCAGACTTATTTTTGTGTGAGTAGATAGTCGCTCGCGCACATCGTTCAAGGGATAGTTACCAACTAGCTGCTTTTTTGGGGTCAATATTCACCGTTTTTACAAATCAATCTATTTTTGGCTAAATTACAACGCGTTAATTATTACTTGTTGATTAAGAAGTCAATCAACTTACTTTTCGACAACAATAACAGTCATGCCATGTGGTTCATAATCCGAGTAATTAGCACGTTTAATGGTAATTTTGATAATCCGGTAAAAAAAAAAAAAGCCAAAAAAGACGAGCATTCGGATTATTCATAAATGGCCCATTAAGTTGCGTTTTGTGAAAATAAGCCACGTGGCGTTTGAAGACGTTCTCGGCATTGTGAATCTACGCGCGACCCGTACGAATTCCAGGTATATAACAAATGGATCATACATTTAATGGTTTCAGTGACCAGTTGTTAGCTAAATTTAAATCTTCATTGAATATCACCCACTTATAGATCACCGAATACACCGAGAAACAGTCATTAATAATATACATTTTTCGACAGAATCTCCATTACCGAATCCCTATGACAGTGACATGCATTCGGTTGGAATAAGGTCAATACCAATCGATGTTAAATTTAGTTTTAAATATCGTTCACCATTATGATTATTCATTTTATACACATGCTGACAGAGGTTTAATTTTGAATATTGTTATTATTGAAAGCTGTATCATATTGGTACGGAATTGCATTTTGTAAAGCAATTTTAATTATGGTTGTCACGTGGTCATTGTGCCATTTGTCAATCATCTACGAAATAATAAAAATTTGTTACGTGATAGACAAAAACAAAATTCTGTGTCAAATATGAAGAAATACCATGATGCCGTATCAGCTAATTTTGGCAACAATATTTTCTGATAAAAAAAATCCTAATTTCGATCAACTGATGAAGTGCTATTATAACGAATATTTCGCATTATCCATACAATAAACGAAGACAGTAATTTATTCGTGAATTTTACTGACGTGACCTTCAAGACGATACGTAAGTTAAAATAAAAAATAAAAATTCCGGAAAGGTGTACAATGTACCTAAAACTTTCAGAAGGATGTACAATGGAAACCGAAGGACCCAGAGAAAACCCACGAGGTTGGACAGGTGGCCCCACTCCTTGTGACAGGGGGTCGAAATCTCGCCAGTTGACCCAATGACATATCTTATAATACAACGCGCACGCGCTAACTATTCAAATTCCCCCACCCCGCCGTATGAGAAGGAAAAGTATCAAGTCATCGGGATGGGACTAAAACAATGAATCCACGTCAAAATCACAGGCTATGATTCTTTAACTGAAGAACCATTCAATTGTGACATTATGAGCATCTGTTACATTAGAAATACAATGTAACTCAAGGAAACATGGGCAACCCGATGTTATATCTCATTTATCTGTCCATCCGTTTAAGTGAGTAAAGAATTGTTTTTGTGTTTATTTCACAGTTTCGGTTAAAGAGAAGTGGTATAAAGAATGCTATATTTTTAATAGAGAATTATGGCTCTATGCAGAATTTTAGTATTGGTGAAGATCGTATTAAACAATCTATAACCAATACACAGGTTGGTGTAATACTATTATAATTATTCCATACCCAGAACTTGAGTCAAGAAAACATCAAGATGCAACATTTTCATTGATCAACATCTAAACTTTGTGCTATCAATATTTTTAAGATATTTTACTATTCATTCATCCCTTTTCCTTTAAGGGTGCTTGTTATAATGAATTTTCAAGATCCTGTATTGTTAACCACTAGCACTTGAACTGCATCATAAAACTACCTATATCTATAGTAGGTCCTAATCTGCCCGAATCAACAAGACAACGCCTGTGCCTCCCCCCCCCCCCCCTTACTTAAATCAAGACTGTGGCATCATTTTAGTCCTTCTGCTCATATTCTAGTCTCTATTCTGTAAGCAGAAGGACTAAAGTTACGACTTCTCACGGAGAATGGCGGAAATTGCTACTGTTGAAATTTACCTGTGACCGGTAACATTGACATTCGGGATCATGTTATACTTAATATGGAAAGGATATGTTGACTTAATAAATTTATTATTTAAACAATTTATGAAGCTTTTCCGGTGACCTGTATTTATATATGTTCATATTATTGGAAGGTTATAGATGGGTTCACAGTAAAGAGAGTGAAAGATACAAAAGAATCTGTGGTATATCTAACCGTAATGACCAGATATTTACAGAGTTATTATAGAGTAAGTTATTGTTGGTTTCTAGATTCAATTTTGGCAGTGAGTGTTCAATTTACAAGCGTTTAATTTCTCGATCACTGTTTAAAATAAACAACCCTATTGGTTATTGATGTATAATGATTAATTTTTGAACAGTGGTCAAGAAATTAAATACTTGCAAATTGGACACTCATTATCAAAATTAATCAGCCAGCTTTAAACTGGACACAAGTACAAAAATAAGATGATTTTGGGTGATTTTAAATGATTTTTATGAATTTTTAAACAAAGATTTGACATTGAATGAATGTGAAAGAAATTAGTGCTAGATACACAAGATTAAATGATATCCGTATTACAGTGTAAACAAATGCTTGATATTGATCTGTAGATAAAGCAATCAGAAAGTTGGGCGGAAGAGAGAGAGAGAGAGAGGTGGGGTTTAACGTCCACTCAACACAAACTAGGTCATTTCGGGACTAACCTATGGTTCATTTTATTTCAATAATTCACTTGTGCGTAGGGGTCTTAAGCAGTGTCAGCAAAGCGGACGACCCCAAGAAAAGCCACGAGGTTGGACAGGCGACCCTACTCCTAGACACAACAACCGGGGAATCGAAACCACGCCAGTTGACTCAATGACAGACTTTATGATGCCATCCAACATCCCCTGAAAGTTAGAAATCAAGCTCTATTTATTTTGTTTGGTGGTTTTTTTTACAGAATAAAACTTTACATGCCTGTAGTCCTGATGTTGTTAAAGAATTAGATAAAAGTTACAATATAAACGATAATGAACTGTATTTGATGCCGTTCCACAATTTTAATATTGGTTCTGTTAAAAGCAAGGTAAGATCATAAAGTTATGAAGTATGTCAGGTGACCATTTCTAAAGTCAGTGAGTCATTTGGATTATTTCGGAACACTATTGATCTCAGAACCTTGTTTAAGGGATTGAGGAATCCCTAATGGTATTATCGAGACTATAATGGTTCATTTCCAATCAGTATTTACAAAGAAATGAATTGAAATGGGGTTTTACATCCTACTGCACTAATGAAGACTGGCATACGCCATACAGTGTGCTATGAGGGGAATTTTGCTTGGGCAGCGGCATTATGGCCTACTCTTATATATAATTGTCCCCCGCCTTTCGAAGAAAGCGGGGGACTATTAAAATGGGTTCGTCCGTCTGTCTGTCCGTCTGTCTGTCCGTCACACTTTTTGGGACACAATAACTCTCTTCCTAATTGAGCTAGAATGTTCAAACTTGGTGTATGTGTTTATTAGGTCAATGCCTTGATGGAGTTCGAAGATGAGCATTTTCCGCTTAGGGTAAGCAGAGATAAGCAATTTGATTGGTTGATGCTTTGGGACACGATAACTCTCTTCCTAATTGGGCTAGAATGTTCAAACTTGGTGTATGTGTTGATTAGGTCAATGCCTTGATGGAGTTCGAAGATGAGCATTTTCCGCTTAGGGTAAGCAGAGATAAGCAATTTGATTGGTTGATGCTTTGGGACACGATAACTTTTAATTGAGCTAGAATGTTCAAACTTGGTGTATGTGTTTATTAGGTCAATGCCTTGATGGAGTTCGAAGATGAGCATTTTCCGCTTAGGGTAAGCAGAGATAAGCAATTTGATTGGTTGATACTTTGGGACACGATAACTCTCTTCCTAATTGAGCTAGAATGTTCAAACTTGGTGTATGTGTTGATTAGGTCAATGCCTTGATGGAGTTCGAAGATGAGCATTTTCCGCTTAGGGTAAGCAGAGATAAGCAATTTGATTGGTTGATGCTTTGGGACACGATAACTTTAGTTCTAATTAAGTGAGATTGATGAAACTTGGTGTATAGATTTATTATATGAATACCTTAACTAAGTTCGATAATGAACATTTTTTGCTGAGGGTAAGCAGAGTAATAAGCAATTTGATTGGTAGAAACTTTGGAACACAATAACTCTCCTTCTAATTGAGGTAGAATGTTCAAACTTGGCATAGGTGTCTATTAGGTGAATGTTTAAACTTGATGTATATGTAGATGTTCATTAGGTGAATGTCTTGACTGAGTTCAATAATTAACATTTCGAGCTGAAGCTAAGCAGAGCTAATCGATTTCATTTGTCGATGGTTTGGGACAAGATAATCTTGATTCTATCTGATAGAGAGTGATGAAACTTAGTGAAAAAAATAAATGTGCGATTAATTAATATGTGTCATCTATTTATTTTGCAATTTCGGCGGGGGACATCAGCCTCACTGTTGGCTTGTTCTAACTGACAAGGGATCTTTTACGTGCACGCCAAGGTGTACACGGGACCTCAATTTTCCGTCTTATCCAAACGACTAAGACAACTGTCCTTATCAGGCCCTCTATCCTGGACCACCGACAAGGCGGGGAGAGAGAAATGGGGTTTAACGTCCACTCGACACATACTATGTCATTTCGGGACTAACATATGGTTTAATTTTATTTCAACAATTCGCTTGCGCATAGAGGTCGTTACCAGTGGGAAGAAACCGGAGGACAAGGAGAAAACGCAAGAAGTTGAACAGGCCACCCTACTCCTTGTCACATACAACCGGGGATTCGAAACCATGCCAGTTGACTCCACGACATCCACCCCCACCCCCACCCCCGACAAGAGGAAACCACGTCGGAAAATCCAGATGAACTTTCTCGGCCAATATGTTTCAGGTATTAAGTATGATTATCTAATTAACATATTGTGTGTTTCAGGCTTTAAGTATAAAAGAAATGTTTGGTAAACAGTTAATACAGTTACATGGTATGTCAGCAGATAAAGCTAAAGCTGTTATAGATAATTATCCTACCCCCTCACAGTAAGTATCAGATTAATTAGGACTGTTACAGATAATTATCATACCCCCTCACAGTAAGTATCAGATTAATTAAAGCTGTTATAGATAAGTATCCCCGCCTCTCCCCCCCACCCCCACAGTAAGTATCACATTAATTAAGGCTGTTACGGATAATTATCCTATCCCCTCACAGTAAGTATCACATTAATTAGGACTGTTACAGATAATTATCCTATCCCCTCACAGTAAGTATCACATTAATTAGGACTGTTACAGATAATTATCCTATCCCCTCACAGTAAGTATCACATTAATTAGGACTGTTACAGATAATTATCCTATCCCCTCACAGTAAGTATCACATTAATTAGGACTGTTACAGATAATTATCCTATCCCCTCATAGTAAGTATCACATTAATTAGGACTGTTACAGATAATTATCCTATCCCCTCATAGTAAGTATCACATTAATTAGGACTGACTATGAGAGACATTTTTTCCTGATATGGACCGAGTCTTTGTAAACAGATTTGATATTGAGTTAATGTTAAAGAAATTAATGCTAGATACACAAGATTAGATGATACCTGAATTACAGTGTATATTGTATAATATTTTATAGTTTAATGGAAGCCTATGATGGATGTATATGTACTAAAGATAAAGACGCCATGTTGTCTGGTATTAAATGTGGGAAAATAGTCAGGTAAATATATATATTTTAGTTGTGGTATTTTCTGTGTGTCTTGGGGGGGGGGGGGGGGGGGTATTACAGGTTCTGGTGCAATAGATCATAAGGTCTGTAATTGAGTCAAGTGGTGTGGTTTAGATCCCGTCCCCCGGTTTCCTCCCACTGCTAAAAATCCCTGTGCTCAAGCACATTATTGAAATAAAATTATACTATTGGTTAGTCCCGAAATGACCTAGTTTGTGTTAAGTGGATAATAAATCCAATTTCTCTCTCTCCATACTAATGATTCAGGCTAAAGCTTGTGTTCAATGTGCACATTTTCGAGTGGTTTCCGCTGATTACATGTAAACGGTTCCATTACATTTGCATTAACCCGAAAACACGTCAATGGAAAACGGTCGTAACTATTAAATATTATTTCCTCGATATAATTTAGTTCAATTTTATGTTCTGCCAGATCTGAAATGGTTACCATGGTAATGTTGGAGGCCGGACAACGCGAAAAAAATAATTTGTATAATTTATATTGTTTCTTTTCTTTTCAGAAATCTTGGAATTGCTCAAAGTCGACAGATTTCGTCATTGTATTGTTCACAAACCCTAACTTAATATTTAAAGCTACTATATATTGCACATTTGTTATGATTTATCTGCAAAAACATCAGCCTTCGGATGAGTAACTTCTTCCAACCAATGAACCATATTATCAAAAAGGCAAGGCACTGGACAGAGCCTTACCCTTTTCTCTCTGCCTGGTTAGTGATGGGTGACTGCCTGGGTACACCTGGTGAAGAAGGAGGGGCCATGACTCGCTTACCTAAATGTCACGTGTTGGATCCCGGTGTGGACCGAGAATGTTAATTTGCATTTTCATACGTGGCTCGTCTGCGAATATTAGTCTGGATTGGTTGTCACTGTCAGCATCTGAGAATAACTAGGTTATTGGCTAGATTATCCGGTCTTTTACATTACTATAAACAAAATCTAAGGGAGGTAACCCCCTAAAACAAGATCTCGACGGCTATGAAATTAATTTAAGAATTGCCATTTCTTTATGATAAATCTAAACAATATATTTTTACAATGTTTTATTATTTAACAGCAGGCAAGAAATGAGTTGAGATGAAACAAAAAAAGGTCAATGAACCATGACACACATGCATGGGAATAATGTTTGTATTCAGTTACACGTCCCACAATCTGATTAAAATACACATCTATATTTCGTTTCGTGTTTTTTTTTATAATTTCGAAGGCCGATACTACATGAAGATCTGACCAGTTGTAGTGGGAGGTCGAATCAGGGGTTATACTAGTGGCTTTTGACCTGTTAGGTCAGATATTTGTTAACCAATCAGGGTTCATGTTTCTACTAAGATACCGACAGTTCCGTGCATCGCACGTTAAGAACTGCAAGCTTTGAAGTTAAAACCCCGTGTGTTTTATGTAAACGTAAATTTCAATTTAATGACTTGTATGACCAGTCGCGGTTACACCTACAGATAAAACGAAACAAGTTAGAGATACATTATGGGAGATTAGTTAAAGAGCTGGCAATTTTCACTATAATAGTTAAAAACAAGATAATGTAAAAGGAATTTGCTGAAAATTCCAGTCAAATTGATCCACTATGAACCGAGATTTTAACGATTGAATATTGGGGCTAGCCTCGATCATCATTACTAAAGTCGGTAGGATAAAAAACATAGTCTCGTTTATCCATTTTTTGATTTAATTATGAATGGAATGTATGTATTGCATAATGTATGTTTAAGGACAGCTGCTGCCTTTAAATACATAGATGTACAGTAGCCGAGCCTTAGATTATCGATTTGTCTTCCCGCTAATTATTGACAGTGTAAAAAATTCACTTATCATTCTGTTTATTGGGGTGTTATAAAAAAGATTTACCGGCTGGGAGTTGCGGCGAGCTCCTGTAATCTAGCTACTTAGAGGCCTGGAATGGAGGACGGTTTGAGAATGGGATTCCTGCTCTCAGGTGTGCTATGTCGATCAGGTGTCCGCACTAAGCCAGGCATCAATATGGATTCAATGGGGGAGCCCGTAGTATCCAGGTTGTCTAAGGAGGGACGAACCGGCCCAGGGCAGAAATGCAGCAGGCAAAAGTCCCCGTGTCCGGCAGTAGTGGGATCGCACCTGTGAATAGGCATCTGTTAGTAGCCCGTTCAATATAGTCGAACCCATTCCTTTTTAAAACATCTTCCCAGCCATTTCACATTTTTACATCAACCCGGAGAAAATTGTTTTCAATATATTCAGATTTGACATCACGAATTCACTTCTACTTTTCAAGATCTCGTTGAATCAGTCAACCATAATATTATGACGTGTTAATTTATGCCGATTTGTAATAAAAGGGAGATAACTACAAATACGAGTTTTTCCGGTTTCAAATCACATTTGGTCTGGAATGGCGAACCCCTGCTTTAAATGGATTATAAGGTCTATCATTAACCCAAGTGGCGTGGTTTCGATCTCAGCTTGCACGTGGAAAGGACTCGTGGGTTATCTCTGGGCCCTCGAGTTTCATCCAACTGCTAAATATCCATACTCACACCTAAATTATTGAAATAAAATTAAACCATATGCTAGTCCCGAAAACGTCGAATTCGTGTCGAATGGACGTTGATCCCTATTCCAGTCAAAACACTGATATACGTAGTCGTCAATAGACAATCAACGTAAATCAATGAAAAATTCGACGACCTTTTTTTTTCTATTAACGTTTAGAGAAAAAATATAACTAACTTATTTCTATGAGATCCACACTGCCCGAAAAGTATTTTCTCGTCTTTTTCTTGTCCACTGCATAACCGAAAATATGCCCGAAGCTCTCTTATGATAGGTATGCCCGAAACAACAATATTGACAGAAAATAGATATTGCCCGGAAAACGGCAGAGGAAACGAGCCAAATGGAAAACTGCTAGGAAACAGTCAGTTGCCAGGGTGGATTTGCCCGTTATATATAATCAATACAATATACTATATATTGATCATATTGATTTCGATATATATACTATATTGATTATATTATATTGATTTCGGGCAATTTTCTCTTATGCCCCCCCCCCCCCCCGAATTACTTTGAGCTCCTACGCCTATGGTTATAAATATTATTTACCGGCTGGGAGTTGCGGCGAGCTCCTGTAATCTAGCTACTTAGAGGCCTGGAATGGAGGACGGTTTGAGAATGGGATTCCTGCTCTCAGGTGTGCTATGTCTATCAGGTGTCCGCACTAAGCCAGGCATCAATATGGATTCAATGGGGGAGCCCGTAGTATCCAGGTTGTCTAAGGAGGGACGAACCGGCCCAGGGCAGAAATGCAGCAGGCAAAAGTCCCCGTGTCCGGCAGTAGTGGGATCGCACCTGTGAATAGGCATCTGTTGGTAGCCCGTCCAATATAATCGAACCCATTCCTTTTTAACACATCTTCTCACCAATTTCACATGTTTTACATCAACCCAGCGGAAAATGTTTTCAATGTATTGAGATTTGACTCGTTGAATCAGTAAACCATATTATGACGTGTAATAAAAGGGGAGATAACTACAAATACGCGTGTTTCAGGATAACGATCACATTTGTTCTGGATTGGCGTTAACTCCTGCGTTAACTGGATTATTAAACCAAGTGGCGTGGTTTCGATCGCAGGAGTAGGGTCGCCTGTCTAACCTCGTGAGTTTTTCTCCGGGCACCGGGGTTCCATCCAACTGCTAAATATCCATACTCGCAGCAAATTATTGAAAGAAAATTGAACCATATGTTAGTTCCGAAAAAAACCTAGTTTGAGTCGAATGGACGTTAATCCCTATTCCCGTCAGGACACTGATATGCATCCTCGTCAATAGACAATCAACGTATATGGATTAATTTATCTTGATTTGCCGTTTGTAATTGTGTGTAATATTGCAACCCTGAGACCCTGAATAATAGACCCGTTATATTGGAATCATATGTTATACCTATACATTAACCGCCGAGTGTCTCGTTACCTCGTCCCTTAACGCGTTAACATAGCACGTATAGTGGCGGATCCTTGTTGGGACCCTTTGGCGCGGCCCCGCTAAATTATTGACAGTGTAAAAAATTCACTTATTATTTTGTTTATCGGGGTTTTATGAATAATATTTTATCAGCTGGGAGTTGCGGCTGGCTCATGTAATCCAGTTACTGAGAGTTAATTAGAGCGTCAATGTGTACGGGTGTGTCTAATGAGCAGTGAACAAAGCGATTTTTTTCATGTTGAATGGCTTCTAAACCTTCTGAAGCCATAGAAAGTGACTACTATCGGAATGTTAAAGATT